GTTTATGTAATGCATATGTGTAAATTTAATATATGAACGAGTTTATAAAAAAAAATGCAAAAGGTGTGATTTAAGAAACATCGAAATTTTTAAACTTTGAATGATTGAAAATTGTTATTTACACTGAAGTTATTAAAAGCAAATATGTGACATAAATTAATAAATAAAAAATTTGAATAAAGTTAAACTAAAAGCGACAAACATAACAATTAAAAACTAACTAAAATAACTGTGGAGTTAAACAAAATTATGTTTGATCCGTTCTAAGCGAGCTGCATATTGTGAAATACACAAATTAAAAGGAAAAAAAAAAAGAAGAATTGCTGTTATTAGTTGGCGTCGGCGTGGTGATCGAAGTTGTTAGCAAGCTGTGTGTGAGTACATGTGCTTTGTTAAACGTAGTAGTAAACGCAGTGCATACAGAGGTGAATGTAGTCACTGAGGTGGTAAAACAAACAACGCAAAAGCTGTTCTGATGAAGTTGGCGAGCGACGAAGGTGATGCGTAGCGGGTGCTGGCGGTGCAGTGGAGACTGGCAGAAATTTTTATATTTTGTTTAAGTACACATTTTGTTTTATTTGATTGCGTATTGAAATTGATACGTTTTAATTTTTTTAGCTTGTAATTTATATATTATTTTTTTAAACTTATTTACTTTTTAGTCATAATTTTAATTTTTTTTGAAAAGATTGTAATAACGCTGGCACCATGAATATTAACAGTATCATTGCGCTGAGTATAGAAGGGTTAAGAGGGGAGCTTAGAAGATTAAATTTAAATACAGAAGGCAAAAAGCAAGAATTGAGAGAAATATTAATTGATCATTATCAATTAGAAACGCGCGAAAATGTAGAAGACAAAGAAATACAGTTTGACAAAATGGCAACTGTTAAAACGATACAAGAACGTTCACTGTTTACGCTTCGTGATGTGGAAGACTCTCTCACTACATTTGCAGGGGTGGGTCAACCAAGTGTTAAGATTTGGGTAGAACAATTAGAAGAAATGGCTATTAGCGTAAACTGGAACGATCAACAAAAATTTATTTATGCTAAGCAGCTACTCAAGGGCGCAGCCAAATTGTTTGTCAGAAGCCAGTTAGAGGTAAAGGATTGGGTGTCGCTCAAAAACGCATTAATTGCAGAATTCACAGTAAATTTAACAATGAACGAGGTTCATGCCATGTTAAAGGGACGAAAGAAAAAACCAACTGAATCATTAAGAGAATATTTGTATAGTATTATTGAAATAGCAAATCAAATTCAGTTAGATGAAATGAGCATAATAGACTATTTTATAGAAGGAATTCCAGACAGTAGAGCAAACAAAACCATATTATACCAGGCAACGAGCATGAATGATTTAAAGAGTAAGCTAAGTATTTACGAAAAGATCAGGAGAAACACATACTCGTCATTAAACACTACAGGAGGGAAACTTCAAACAGAACATACTGGGGTACAAGACATAAAAATAGAAAGAGAGGATAGAAAAGATGGAAAGCGTTGTTATAGGTGTGGAGGTAAGGATCATATTGCTAATAGTTGCAAAATCAAAGATTATAAATGCTTTAGATGTCAAGAGGTAGGGCACAAAGCATTCGAATGTAAACGTCCAGAAAAGGTAGTAAGAAATAGAAACAAAAACAATTCTCTAGTTATAGAAACTATTAATGATGTGCGTCGAAATGGAACTAATAGAGTTTTGAAAGATTTAGGAATAAATGGGAAGAAGGTACGTGCTCTAATCGATACGGGTAGCGATGTCTGCATCATCAGACACTCCACTTGTTTGCGGTTAGGAAACATTGTGTTGGAAGCTAGGAGAAAAACATTGACAGGTATAGGAGGAAAAGAGATTAAAACATTAGGTAGCTTCATAACATTAGTCGATTTAGATGGTATCCAAACCAGTTTGAATCTTCATATGTTAAACGATGATGATGTCCAATATGATGCCATAATAGGAAGCGATATCCTAGAAATAGTTGACATTTTGATCTCCTCAGATGATGTAAAGTTTTTGCGAAAGTCTCAGGAAAAACATATCGACTTTAATAAGGAAAATGTAAGAGAATGTGAAAATGAAGTTAGGAATCTCTATAACATTTGTGTGACAATGGAGCCTGATGAACCGGAGGTAGTGGTTCAAAGCCAGTTGAATCATTTACCAAAGGAAAGAAAAGAGGAGGTAATAAATGTTATAAAGCATTACAAGCCGAACAAGAAGATTAATAACTCCCCAGTAACAATGAAATTGATTTTAACTGATGAAGTGCCGGTATGTCATAGGCCAAGAAGGTTACCACTAGCGGATCAGCAGACTGTAGAATCTCAGATACGTGAATGGCTAGAGGAGGGTATTATTAAAGAAAGCATGTCAGAATATGCCTCGCCGGTGGTTCTAGTAGCGAAAAAAGATGGCTCCAAGAGGTTGTGCTGTGACTATAGAAAGCTAAATTCGAAAATAATTAGAGATAACTTTCCTATGCCACTAATAGATGATATTCTGCAAAAGTTACAGTCGGCTGTTGTATATAGCACATTGGATTTACGAAATGGATTTTTTCATGTGCCTATTGAAGAAGATAGTCGAAAATTTACGGCATTTGTGACGCATGGCGGACAGTATGAATTTTTATTTGCTCCATTTGGAATTAAAAACTCTCCAGCGGTGTTCACACGATACGTTTATGCGGTGTTGAGAGAATTAATAAAGAAAGGTGTAGCAATGGTGTACATGGACGACATCATAATACCATCCCAAAATGAAGAAGAAGGAATGAGACGATTAGTAGAAGTGTTGGAGGTTGCTCAAAATTTCGGGTTAAACATTAAATGGGAGAAGTGTCAGATTTTAAAGAAGAAGGTTAACTTTTTAGGTTTTATCATTGAAAACTCGAGCATAAAACCAAACGAGGAAAAGCTAAAAGCTGTGAGAAATTTTCCAATGCCAAGAGATAACAAAGAAATTCAACGATTTTTGGGATTAACATAATATTTTAGAAAATTTGTGTATAATTATGCTGTAATTGCCAAACCATTAAGTGATTTGTTACGAAAAAACGTAAAATTCGAAATAAAAGACGAGCAAAAATTGGCTGCTCAGCAATTGAAAACAGCTTTAACTTCCGCACCGATACTTAAGTTATTTGATCCAAAAGCAAAAACAGAAGTACATACGGACGCATGTAGCGATGGATATGGGGCTATTTTGCTGCAGTGGGGTGAAAATGCCCCGTTACATCCTGTTGAATTTCTAAGCCGGAAAACCTCATCAACGGAACGAAGATATCATTCATATGAACTGGAGGTATTAGCAATTATAGAAAGTTTAAAAAAGTGGAGATACTTTCTGCTTGGCATCAAATTTAAAATCGTTACCGATTGTAAGGCCTTCGCGTGTACATTGAAAAAAGATGATGTACCTACTAGAGTAGCAAGATGGGCTCTATTCTTGCAAGATTTTGATTACGAAATAGAGCATAGAATGGGCACTAACATGAAACATGTCGATGCACTAAGCCGTGTTTATTGTCTGTTGCTGGAAGATTCGTTGTGCCATAGAATAAAGAATGCGCAATTAAGCGATGACTGGACGAAAGCTGCGCGAAAAATTTTGGAAACTCAAAATTATGGCGATTTTTACTTAAAACACGATATATTATTCAAAGATAATGTTAAAGAACGGATGGTTATTCCTTCCTCTATGGAAAACGAAATAATTGAGATCGCTCATCGTCAGGGCCACTTTGGGTCAAAGAAAACTCAAGACATTATTGAAAAAAATTATTACATATCAAATATAAATCCAAAAGTAGACAAAGTAGTAAGAGGGTGTATCGAATGTTTAGTAGTGAACAGTAAATCAGGAAAGAAAGAGGGATTTCTTAATCCTATAGATAAAGGTAATAGACCATTGGAAACGTATCATATCGATCATGTAGGACCGTTGGATCAGACTAAAAAAAAATACAACTATATTTTGACAGTAGTAGACTCATTTTCCAAGTTTGTGTGGTTATACCCCACTAAAAGTGTAGGAGTAGAAGAGGTAATCGAAAGATTAAATAAACAATCGATGGTTTTCGGAAATCCTGCTGTGATTATCAGTGACCGAGGCACTGCGTTCACAGCAAGCAGGTTCAAAGAGTATTGTACGAACGAAGGGATCAAACACCTATTAATAGCCACAGGCGTTCCGTGGGGAAACGGCCAGGTAGAAAGAATACATAGAACAGTTATTACAATGCTCAGTAAATTATGTGTGAACTCGCCAGAAAGTTGGTACAAACACGTAGAAAGGGTACAACAAGCTATCAATAGCACTCCAGCTCGGAGTACTCAGTATTCTCCATTTAAAATTTTGACAGGGGTGGAGATGCGCATAAAAACTAATGTTGCATTAGGGTCGTTAATCACAGAATGTGTAATGGAAGAGTTATTTGAGAGAAGAAATGAAATGCGTGAACAAGCAAAAGAAAATTTACAGAAAATAGCTGAAGAAAACAGGAATACATATTACAAGGGTAGGAAAGAAGAAGTTAATTATGAAATAGACGATTTAGTTGTCATCAAACGTACCCAATACGGAACAGGACTCAAATTAAAACAGAAATATTTAGGACCGTATCGAATAGTAGAAAAGAAAAGACGAGGTAGATATGTAGTTGAGAGAGTCGGAAATGGCGAAGGATCAAAGAAATGTGAAACAGTAGCAGAACATATGAAAGCGTTTAAGGGGTCATCCGGGACGGATGACATGTCAGGATAGCCGAATGTAGGAAAGTAGGTATGACAGCGGCGCAAAAGTAATTAAAAGTAGTAGAGTTACGTCGCTGTCATAAGAAAAGAGCGCAGGGCAACTCCGTTGCTT